ACATTTCAGGTTTGTGCGTAAAGATAATGGGGTGAAATTCTTTCCAATGCATGAAAACATGGTTAAAAAAAATTATCCTTCAACCCTTTATGGGGCTTAAGAATAAGTACAAATAAAGAAACTTTCAGTTACTGCATTAACTGGGGAAAGTGTTTATCCACAGCACACCAAGTCAATTAATACATACTTCTATAATACGCTGAGAACAGACCTGAAAAAGCTTGCGTTTTAATAAATGCACTTACCAACAGACCTGTTCATTTCTCCTCTGTTCCCCAAAACAAACAGGAAATAATTAAATGTAGCCAAATTCCTGACATTTTTTGGCATTTCATATATATATATATATATACACACATATATATATATACACATAGCTCAGAAAAACAGTAAAATGTACCTGCAGACTCTGTTTGCAGCATTGTTGGGACTTCTCTTGGTCTTAGGTGACTAATTTCACTGCTGCTGTAGCGTACTGGAGTTTCTTCATGTTCTGCTGATTTGGTCGGGAGAAACTGCTTCATTCCTTTCCACCATCCTTCACATGGATTTAAAAAAAACCCTAAGACTGCATATATACACACACACACACACACACACACACACACACACACACCCCCCCGTGTTTTATGCTACTAAAATATTTTTACAGTTTATATTTTGTAGTAGCAGGTATTTGCATGACCCTAAGGTTACAAGATATTTTAATATTTTCTGGCAGCCTGAAGACTCAGAGATGAAAACATTGCTCTCACCCAATCAACTTGCCTGAAACCTCCCCCTTTGAACACCTGCAGAACTGCTGCAGTCTAGTGACTCTGACCCCAAATGGCCGTTAGCAGCAGTGTTGGAGTTACTCATCACATTAATAAACCCATAAAATACAACACAGAAAATACTAAAAAGTCAGCCATGATTCCAATTTGTAAATAATTTACACAAAGTTTTAGACAATGTCAGTTACAACCTAAGAGTACAGCTAATTAATGTGGTTTCTGGCTGTTAATCTCATGTTTCTAACTCACGTTGTTGAAAAAGGCTGATCAGTGAATATTTGCAAAAACCTGAACGAAGAGGATTTTAACATCAGTGGAAATGTCAAGGAATGACTGTAGTCATGAACATTTTCTGGAGAGAAGTAGGGAGGGTTGGTTTTGTTAGGTTCTCCCCATCCCTTCCCCCAGTAGCCAGAGCCATGCTAGTTTTGCTGTCCATTAATATATTCATTCCAGAGAGATCATCCTGTAGGTAAAGCCGAAGAAACAGGAGATTCAAAACCACAGAACACTATTCAACAAAATTTGAGGTAGTCTGTGGGAGGGGACCGACAGAGGTTCCACAGAGAAGCATAGCAACATTATTTTGATACTGCATTTTGCCAAATTTCCTTTTAAAACAGACCTGCATACTAAGCATTTAAATTTAAGCACACAGGAAAAAAATCTGGCATGTCCATCATTGACATTTAAATACAGGATATTCTAAGTCTAATAGTCTAAGACAACAGTGATGTGACCTATCAGAAATGGACATGTAATAAATAGAAGTAAGGTCGTTAAAAGGTTTCTTGTCTAAAGGCTAAGGCATACGTGAAACTGCCAGCGAGCAAACACACAGATGTGGAAATTTTCAACATGAGGACAGAGAAGGGAAGCGCGGTCACACAGACAGTACAAACCCAACTGCTGCAGCAGCCCTTTAAGCTGCAACACAAGCATTTTCAGGACACCTGCTACGTGCTGCTCGGTGGAATTGTCTGATCTCAAGTTACTGGGGCACAAGACAGTAGGATGGAAAATATGCCTAAAAGGGGCTGCAAACAATCCCACATACTTACTAGGGCAATGAAGACAGACAAAACTTGACAGACCTTATATACTAAGATGAAAGATTTTTTCAAGGACAAAAAAAAGTACCAAATACATGATTATCAAATGTACAAAGACATTCCTCATAAATGATTTTTCCCCTCATCTTGTATAATTAAGAGGTTCTATACTTTGTTTACTAAAAAAAAAATCTGAAGCTGTAAGCTCTACCAGGAGACAAGGCATTTTCTATTTCTGAAAAACATTCAGAGAATGAAGCAGTTAAGTCTGTCCAGAAAAGAAATTCAGTGCTAGTGGAAATTGTCTGTTACTGCAAGCTGAAAGACGCATCAAACCAAAAATGCCAAGTAAAGGATTTCATAAAACCATTTTGTTACCTGCACGATCCCAGTAAGGTAGATCATAAGTACCCTCTGTTTTTTTCTTGCTGTGAAAAAAAGAAAAAGGGGGTATTTTAGCTAGTCTGCTTATCAGAAGATGCATTAATTAATGCTCAGCAACTATCACCTTGGCTGTAACTGGTTCTCAAATCTAAAGTATAAGCACCAGTAACCTGGCTTGCCATCACCAGTCTGCTGCTACTGGAGCAACCAGTTTTCAGTAAAAGTACTTCTAATGAAAATAGTTACAAAAAGCTGTTTTCACTGTCCTTGCTATTCAAGTGAACGTTTTCTCACAGAGAATACAATTCTGAAAAAAAATCCTTCCACAAGTGTGGACCATGTAGTTCCCACAGTGATGCATGCAGCATTCCATTCCCACACACCAGGCTAACATTCATTTAAAGCACTTTCATTAATCTATTCATTTACCGGTTTCTCCAATGCCACGCACAAACTAAGATAAGAATCAGAGAAGTGAAGACCATCACCAGCACTGGAACCAGAACTGCTGCCAACGCCACATCTGAAAGCCATTAAATTAAGTGGTGTCAGACAGAAGAGCTTTTCATAAATCAGTTTTTCATTTGAAAATGACTTGGGTAAAGCACACAGTTTTCATGTATAGCGTCTATCACACCAGATCCCCCAGCTAAGCTACCCTGCCGGATGCTCCCACAGTGTAAATGTCAATTCACATCTAGCTCTTCTACATGTATGCACAGCTAGTATTTTTGCAAGGTTTTTCATCAAAATCAACAGATTTGTTTTAATATCAGGAGAATTTTTTTCTGTTAGAACAACGTATTTTATTATTAAGAAGGAAAATCAAAAGAGCCCAGGAATGTGCAACCACTTAAGTTTGAACCTCCTGTAAGAAGTAAATACCACAGTACCTTAACAGTTAATCACAATCAGCCTATGCTGGGTCTGCGTGTGACGTGAGACCATCCTGTCCCCTGCCAGCCAAAGGACACTTCACCAATGCCTACCTCTGCAGTGATCTTGCTCCCTTTTCTGACAATTTTATTTGATAAGCAAAATGATGATGCTAGATGATGTTTTTCGAATTTCATGCCAACATGACTGCTCTATGAAAGATTAGCTATGGCAGAAGTGTTTTGTCCTAAGAAATTATCAAATTAAATAACAAAGCAGTTACATCTGATTGATTCTGAAGGGAAGTCCAAGTTGCAACTTCTCTTTCTGACAAAATTTGCTCAGTAATTAAAAGCTGAATTGAACAAGTTTTGAAAGATGGAACTTAATATATATATGACTTGGAAGATTGGTTTTGTTTCTGCATGCGGTATTGCGGTTTAACCCAGCAGACAGCCAAACACCACACAGCCGCTCGCTCACTTCCCCCACCCCAAACCGGTGGGATGGGGGAGTGAATCAAGACAAAAAAGAGTAAAACTGGTGGGTTGAGATAAAGACAGTTTAATAGGACAGCAAAGGAAGAGAAAATAATAATAATAATAATGATAAAAGAATATACAAAACAAATGATGCACAATGCAACTGCTCACCACCCACTGACCAATGCCCAGCCCATCCCCAAGCAGTGATCGCTGCCCCCCTGCCAACTCCCCCCAGTTTATATACTAAGCATGAAGTCATATAGTATGGAATAGCCCTTTGGCCAGTTGGGGTCAGCTGTCCTGGTTGTGCTCCCTCCCAGCTTCTTGTGCACCTGGCAGAGCATGGGAAGCTGAAAAGTCCTTGACTTGGTGTAAGCACTGCTTAGCAACAACTAAAACATCAGTGTGTCATCAACATTATTCTCATCCTAAATCCAAAACACAGCAGTATACCAGCTACTGGGAAGAAATTAACTCTATCCCAGCCAAAACCAGGACAAGTATGCAACTGCACATTTTTTTATCATATGTATATTTAATAACTGGTAAATATTAAAAAGAAAAGATTGATAATTTGCTATAATACATTAAGTGTTGAGAAAATTTAAATTCAGAAAGCATACTTGATGTATGCCAAAGTACTGTAAGGAGTTGCCAAACACTTCTACTGCTTAACTGTGGATACCTTTGGTTACACTTGGAGTCACTGTGGTGTTTTTTATTTCAGGTGTGAAAGTTGTTTTATCTGTCTGCAACAAAGTCTTCACGGAATGAATGAAGTCGTCACTGGAGTCATCATTCTTGTTGTCATTCTTGTTCTGAGGTGGTGACGGTGGCATGGTGATTTTAGGAGCACGGCCTTTAGAAGAAAAGAATTTATAAAAGAAGTTTTTTGAAGTGCTAGTTTTCCATGTTTCCTTTTTTGGGAAAAGACAGCTGGAACAGTTTGCTCCAAAGCTTTTGTTCATGTTATAAAATGAGGAAAAAAAACCCATGAACCAGTAAAATGGACAGCAAGTGACTGGTGTCTTTTGAAACACTTATTTTCTAAATTACCTTGTTTATGCCCAAACTGGGTATTTTCCAGGTTAAGCGTAATAACTTTGGAAGAAATTCAGAAGTATCAGTGACAGAAGGATTACGCAGCTAAGAACTACTTTTTTATCACTGAAAATATACCCACAATATAATCTCTGCCAAATTATTTCACTGCTTGTCTTGCACAGTTAAAAGGTTTTCAGTTGCCTTACCTATACTAAACTGACATCCTAGCAATTCTACTTTCATTGCAATTTTCTGGTGCCATTTTAAGGGGTTAATCCTAAAAAAGCGTGCAATAATAGGTGGAATGAAATTATTGCGGACTTCCTGGTACAATTGAGTGTTCCCTTGAAATATCTAGAAAAGGAAAAAAAAAAGAGAGACAAACATTATGTTATACAAATGCAATAGCAACTAAGTAACTACAACCAATTTTGATGTTTTATTTAGGAAAAATAAGCGGTGCAGAATCCTGAAAATTAACCCCAGAAGGGTACTGCTGCCTGCACATCTCCACTCACTGGGCCCTATTAAATATATAACTAAATGAAATAAAGGAAGGGGGGGGGTGGGGGTGGGGTGTACGCATATGCATGCAACTACTTACTTCAGAACAAAGGTACCATGTAATATTCTACTGATGTTCCCCAGGCAATGCCTTCTGTTAAAGACATATCACGTGTTTATAGCACCAAATAATTCTAACTCGGTCCTTTTTGGTATTTTGCACTTACTCTTCAAATATATATAGCAAGCAGTTGTGACAAAGTGAAAGCAGGAATTAAGCGGTGCCTTCACACAGCCTAACAGTTCAAGCACAGTCTGTCTTGTGAATGGGTATGGCATCCATTAGAAGGCATTAAGAGACACAGTCAAGTATGTAACGACACTGTCCTCTAGTGGTTGCCGTCTACAAGGGCTGAACCACAAGCGAAAGAAAAGGATTCAGGCTCAGAACGTGAGAGCTCTCTTCAGAGTCTCAAAGGGAGCCATGCGCTTCTGGAAGAGAAGGGCACAACCTTTGCATAACGGCTGAGCTAAAGCTGGTCCTTCACGGCTGGTCCTCCCACACAAAGAACTCATCAACTTCTGACAATTCAGAACGGGTTTGTCTGGTTGAAATTTAAAACCAGTAAGCAGATAATCACTGTATGATGCAGTGCAAGCACTCTGACAAACTTACAGCCACCTACAGGTTTTGCACTGAGCTGCTTAAAACAATATAGAAACTAGGCCCAGTACTCCAACCCAGCAAGCCATCCCATCCTCTTCTTTGGCAGGGCTGGTTTGGGATCATGCCTTTGGGTAGGAAGTGAACTGTCTCTCCATGGTAGTACACAGCAGTGGGGCTTTGGCTCTGCAAATGCAGCTCTTGGGCGCTACTGCAACACATGTCGCCATAGAGGTGACAGTAAATGAGTAACACATTTGGTTGTAAAGCACTGATAGAGATATTGCAAATCATGTTGGACATAACGCAGAACAGAATTATGGCACTTGCCTGAAAAATAAATATTACAGCAAGTTTTCTGCTCACTCACACCGCTTGGTAAACAATAAAGCACCGTGCCACTCTTAAGGACAAGCATTGTATTGTGTAACAGCTGATGCGTCTGCATAAAATGGAACAGTCAAAGAGTTTTTAGCACACTTCTGATCAACGCAGATTGCTGGTGTTTCAACCTTGATACACAAGATAGAGATTTTTGTATCGCACTCCTGTGTTTAAGTTTTTGTAACAAAATGACTAGAATATCCCTACAGGTTTGAAAGAAAACAATTATTCCAGGAAACTATCTAGTCAAAAGCCCAAAAAACCTCCAAACAACCCCAGGGCCCTTGAAGGGACTCAGGCCTGGGCTCCCTGACGTACGTACATAACGTGTCTCCACTCTGAAAAGACACACGAGCCCCTTTACTATTACTTACACGTAAGAATTTTGGTTTGTCCTTACATAGGCATTAATTGTCTTCATGATTGAAAGCACTGACTGAACAAATAGACACATAAGTCAATTTAGTTAAGCACGGGAAAATAAATCACTTGGTAATGTAAATGCAGTACTTCATGTCTGAGTGTATTGGTTTTTCTACCTTAAATTAGTAACCAGCATTTTCATTTTTATGTATCCAAGTAACACTGTCAAACTAACTGCTAACCCATTCATGATACTAAAAATCTAGGTAGGCAAACACAGGTATTTGCCTTGAAAGAGTACAGTCTCTTCTTCCCCAGCTTACTGCAGTGCAGATTTACAAGCCCACGGCTCTCGGTGATGTTTGTCCTGCTCTAAATTTAAGCTTATTGTTCTTAAATATGCTTACTAGGAATGAATGAAGACAGATTTTGGTAAAGATGCAAGTGAGAAGCCAAATACAGAGGTGACTCTCTGAGGGCACGCGCCCAGCCCAAACTGCTGCACTGTATCCTTGTTTGCGCTGTGCCATGCCAGTGCCCACTACTAGAAGAAGGTGCAAGCTGCACCTGGCTACCCAAGCAACAAATGCAGAAGTTGCAGATGAGGAAAACAGATGCCCAACACTGAAAGTTAGTCTCACTTCAGGTTTCTGACGCTGAGCATGTAGCAGAAAAGGCAACAAGAATCAACATTGACTGTTATCTTCAAGAAAAATTAACAGTAAAGTAGTTCTTTACTCCAGGTTTTTATTAGTCAAGCTTTTGATGTCAAGTGTTACAATAGCATCTTAACTTTACCTGCAGCTCAGTATTTTTTGTTCATTTATTTTTTTGCACAAAAAAATTTGCTTCTGAGCTCAATACAGTACAAGCTTCTTGATGAGAAATCACTTTTATATTCCATTTATTATCAAACTCTCCATTTGCCTCTGTGCTGTCAAACAAAACTTTTCCAACACTGCAACTTTGATTTGTCATTCTTCCCTGATTCAAGCATTTTATTCTTTTTTTCATATATAAAAATTTTAAGAAAAGCTTTTCTTGAGTACTGACAGATCTCTAGAAGCTATTTGCAAAGAGGACTAGGAAAGCCTTGGAAAAGCTTCTAGTATCCTGAACAACGTTAGGAATATCAAATGTTTTTCAAAAAAAAGCGGGGAATATCACCTTCTGGTTTGTCTGGTGTGCTGTTATGTAAGGCTCAAAGGGGGAAGCCTGCATGCATATGCATCCAAAAGCAAAGCTGCGTCAAGAGAGATGATGTCAGACAGAGGAAAAATCTGCTATTTTGAAGCCTAAGAGAACAACCATACTGAACCCTTCTTTCTGTCATGTAACTACAGCCGGCACCTCCCGGATACGTATGGTTCTTCATGCATTGTACCTAATGATGCAAAGACTGCAAAAAAAGATCTGTTGCCTGTTATGTCAAGCTCCGCAATTTGTTTCATTTCATGAACTTGCAAGAAAAACAATGTGCTCCAATTAAAAGGCAACAGCTGTAAAGGTTTTCTAAGAAAATAATCGAACTAAACACGAAGCCTAAATCTAGATGGCTCGCTAGCTGGAATTCTATTTTATGGCCAGAAGAGGGCACTCGAAAACTAGCAAAAGATGCTGGATTTTTATTTTTCTTTTCTTTGAATACCTCATACTAACAGTCTGTTAGTTCACATGTAGGTTCAGGGAGGTGGACCGGCCCCGACGGTAAAGTCCCTTCCTTTCAGGAAAGTTTCCTACTGTGATTATGTTCAGTGTTCAAAAACCTCTTAATTTAACAAACAACATACTTCAACCTTTCACTTCATCAACAGGATGCTACATCCTACCTTGAAACATTCTTCACCACAATAAACACAAGAAAACCAAGTACAGCTAAAGAGCTACCATTCTTAAGACCCATTTCTAAACAGGTACTAGTTACTATTGCATGTATGTAATACCACAGGCCTATGCAGTAAGGTAAATTACATCCAAGAATTTTAAGAAAAAGAAGGAAATTCTCGTTCCAGTTAGGTTACCAAGAATCCTCTCATTTGTTTAAGAAAATCTGATCTGAACGACCCACTGGGAAAACCACGTAGGACATCAATCTTCTCATTTTTACTGCAAAACTGTAAACACAGGGAAAATAAGATTATCTTGCCACTAACATGAGGTAATTTTTCTGTGTGGCAAAGCATTTGCAATCTGAACATACCATTTCATTTTTTAAGAAAACTCCCCTCTGCAAGGGCTGTTCCATTATACAAGAAAGAAACTTACCAGCATTTTGTCAAAAAGTGAGATTGACAGAAGCATCATAAAAGATGAAAAATTATACAACCCCTAACATTGATTCTGCAATCACAAGAGGATAAGAATGTAAACCTTAATTTTGAAACGTACAACCTATTTTGAAAGAAATCTGATTATTCTTAAAGAGACGCAGTACCAGACAGCCTACCAGTGGCAACGGAAATTTCTTGTCTAGGCTATTGCCACCGCCAAATAGTATTAAAAATAATCTCTGAATTTCAGAACTGTTCACATCCTTACATATTTGCATATTTTCATGTTTTCTTCTGCACAGATGCTGTTCATGATTCAAAATTACACTGAAAAGGAAAGTTATTTAATGCTTCCTCACCGTACCAAAATTAGTCACATCACTGAAATTGTGAAATCTCCATAGAACATACCTAGAAAGCGTGTGGTATTTTTACCTTATCTTTATCCATGCCAGGTTCTCTGTATACTGTCCATTTCAGTGCATCATCACTGTATGAAATTCTGTAGGCTGAGACGTAATAGTAATACTCTGCTAAGGTTGATCCAGCAGTTATAATACCTGTGAAAATGAAGGTGCCCAGTGAGACAAAAAACTGGTAACAGTTTGTAAAAATTAATAGATCAGCTTTTGAATCCAGAGTGACGAGGTTGGAATCTCCATTGGTCCAGCTACATTTTGAAAAGTTTATCCAAGGTGTCAGGGTCTGGATCTTCTACAGTGACTGAAACTTAATAATCATTTTACTTACTTTTATATTTTAATTCTCATTAATTCACCTCGCTAAGCACTTTCCCTCCATTTCTTGATGGAAATGGCCTGTTCGTTTGACCGTGGCCCACTTCTGTCTCCAGTTGCCAAGACAGCACCACTCTTCCCTGCTTTCGTACTGCCAACCCAAAAGCACCATTGAAAGAACTGTAGCTTCCTAAAGCTGACACTTCAGTGCTGCAGAACAACTCACATAAGAAGCTGTTTTGTAAAAGCTTATTAGCACAGGAATTAGAGGAGTAATGTAAAATCCAGTTAGTCCCCAGGGAGGTAATAACAAAGGCTGCTGGTAAACCCTGGTTGCTTAATGACAGGAAGCCAAGCCGCTGAGAGCAGGGTGCGCAGCTGAGTTTACAGAGACCAACTCTTGCATTTGAGAAAGAGACAAACCCAAAACTGATCAAAGGAAGATGTTTCACAATAGTCTTAAAGCCCGGGACTCTATGAAGCACTCTACCTAAAGCCACTTCATTTTTTATTTAGGTCAGACTGCAAACATGCCCATTAACAACAGAGAATCACCTCTGAATAATTAAATCAAAATAGAAAACACTAACATCAGCACAGAAGATACAATAGCTGCACTGCCACTACTTAGGCTAGCCCTGAGGTTAACCCCAAAATGCAAATGCCTCAGTGTTCACTGCTCAGCATGGGCCATACTGCGATCAACAGGAACAGGTAACCACGAGCTTGCTTCCTGTGAAGCAAACTATCCAGAGCGGATTGGGAAACAGCACCTCCAGCTGTCTCTCCAAATAAACACAGCTACTAAATCATGACGGATGGTCCATCTCTGTGAAGGAGCAGAGCCTAACCCAGACACTGGCTGCATCAGTCTGCGCTGTTTGGTCCGTTCGCTGAGGGGCCACCATCCCCAACCCTCAGCCCAAGTTCCACTTCAGGCAAGGAGGTGAAGCTGGTTTACTCTGTCTGCTGCTTATCTCACAGTGCACTGCAACTGCTCCTGTCTCCACTGTTGGATTCACTATGGCCATGACAGGCAGTAGGGAAAACCTAGAAATGTAAGCCAGTTCACCTGCATCAGAAGTACCAGTGGACTGAGCTAGCTGGATATGGAGACAAGGAGACAATCGGCAGGAAAAGGGAAGCATCAAGGATCCAATAAAAACCAGTGGACTGAGCTAGCTGGATATGGATTTGCACCTCCAAGGAGACAATCGGCAGGAAAAGGGAAGCATCAAGGATCCAATAAAACCACAGGAAACACTTCAACAAATTCTGATGGAAGAGGTGTTTTCTACTATGAAACTCCACCTGTTCAACTCCAGGCTCCTCAGTATATTAGCTAAGACATGGAACCAACTTTGCTGTAATCGTAACTAAATGTCACCTGGACTTTATCTAAGACCAAACACTGGAAAAAAGGATGTCAGTAACCAAACTTTTTGAATGCTGCTTAAAAGCCACATCAGATTCACTTACCTGTTATTCTCTTTTCTTTATTCAAGTCAATCTGCAACCACTGATGTTCATCACTGATAAAAGCAGCCCAAGGAGGACCAACCCATTTTAGTCTGGCATTTTCAGGTTTCCAAACGTTCACTTGTCCTGTTTGGTCAGACCACTCAAGAATAGATGATGCTGTGATTTGGGAATCAGGGATTACCCCAGATCCCATCCCCAGTGTCCCATAGCAACCTGAGCAACAGAAAAGGTGCGGATTCAGAATGAAAATTCAAGTTACACAATCATTTTACTTGCTTGGAGTTTAAGACCTTACATGCAAATATTAAACTGCCATCTAAATCTATTCCATAACAACACTACCAACAAAACACAGTCTTCTGCTTTCTAACAGTGATGCTGGAACCAAACTTGTGGTTATGAGTATTCCACGATTTATGCCTGCTCAAGAGTAATGTGGACATTCTCTCAATCACCATCCACACAGAGCACTAGACAAGAAGCTTTGGGGGAGCTGTCATGGTTTAAGAGTATGTATGGTTGATGCAGGAATGGGAAACAGACTACTTGATCACTCGTTCCTTTTTTGTGCCTATGTAACTTCTTGGTTTTCAAACCCACCTCAGCATCACAATGTTAATTTGAACAATACACCAAAGCATGCAGGAAGCCATGTCATAATCCTGGTCTTGAGCTCAAACACATCCTTGGAATTAGTTTTAATTTTTTGTCACCGTTCTTACTAAAAGTTTCTCCCCGTGTCGCATTCTGCTGATGGCTAAAAAACATCTCCTAAATTCCTGGCTAAATTTCTTTGTGGCTAGTTGATATCCATTTGTTCTTTGCTAAAATCTGTAGTGCTAACAGCTTTCCCCTCTCACACGTGTATTCCCCAGACATATCAGCAGAGAGCAATCTTTGCCTTCAGTCAGCCAGCCTGAACAACCCAGCCCGGTTTCCCTTTTGCTGTGAGCTCCCCCTCTCCCTGCAGGCACCCGTGCAGCCCTCCTCTGCAACAAGGTCGGGCGTTCATCCCTCAAGGGAGGCGCAGGTGGCAGAGCCCACGTGCAACCGGATCCCAGACAAGGCCTTGCCAACGTCCTGTGCGATGGCATTAATAGTTTGTTGTCTCTACTGGACGTACTCCACCTGCTACAGCACAGAATCACGTTAGCACTTCACTAACCGAATCCTTTCCCTTGTCTGTCATTTCCACCTAACATACTGCCAGTTTGAAGCAGAAATGCCTCAGTCTTTACGTACCCGACCTTACACTTTTTGCTCTGTGATTCTTCAATTAATTTCTATCACTCAAGTTTCAAAGTCAGCCAGGTCTTCCTGTACAAATATTTTCATCTTCCTCTGCACTGACCACACCTCTAGCATTAATAATACACGCCTCTATTTTGTACCAAGTCATGAAACCAACCATTACAGAAGAACCACACTAGTAACTTCACCACAGCCTGATAAACCTCATTTGAGCACACTACAGAGTCCTCTTTTTTCCTTCAGCTAACTCCTAGGCCACCCAAATACATACATTTTAATCTAGACCTGCATTTTGTCTCTAGCTTATTCAATAATCTCTCAAATGTGTCACTGAAATCCAGATAGTCTAGATCAGCATTTTGTCCTATCTCTTCATATTTCCAGGCCATTTAATTACTTTCATATACACTATCAGATCACATTTTGAAAGACAAAAAACCCCAACAAACCCTGCCTTGATCACTGTGTTTAATATTTTCCAAGCATAAGGTCACCAGACATGCAATTCCTTCTTCCAGCTCTTGCAGAGGTCTGGGAGAGAAATTATCTGAATATTATGTGGATTATATTTTCTGATTTTTCCTTGTTTGTACACATTTCCATCTCCAAACATTCCTGCCCATCAGATTCCTGCCTTTATATCCCCATTCAGCATCACTTTTATTTATACATTAGGGAAAGCATTAGTTTACTTTTGAGGAGTATGCATATGATTCCCCCCCCCTGCTTTTTGTTTTTTTTAATTTATCCTTACGGAAAACAGACGTAATGCTTTTGTTAGGGTTTTTTTTTTATATTGTTATTAAAACAGTTAAAGAGACTAAGGAAAGGCCACTGTCTTCACAATACTTCCAACACCCATTCAATGATGGCATTTAAAGTGACTTACAGAAAAGCTAGCTTCCATTTAGAAAACTACAGCTAATGTACTTGAAAAATGGGTAATTGATAAAAAGTAAAAACATGAAAAGCAGTAAAGCTTTAAAAAGGGGCAACACTTGTTATACCAATCAGCAACCTGGTACACATTTATGAAAAAAACCATGGCAGCCAAGAAGGAACACTAACTGACACACAGAGCAAGGCCTAAGAGATGTCCTTCCAGAGGAAGAGAGACAAGTAATTTATCACATAGCATTCAGTTGCAAGAATATGGGAGAAAAAAAAGTAAAAAGGGGTGGAGAAAGTTGAGGAATCATTTTGGGATTTCTGCGAGCTTTCTTAGTGGGCAGCAAGGAAATTGTAAGGAGTAAACCTGGAAAAAACCTAGAATGAACAGTTGTTACAAATAAAGAGCAACTCTTAAGTGCCCAGCTCTGCTTTAGCCGTGTGTTTAAAGCATGGGAGTCAAGCCACTTTAAACCAGACTATAACAGAGGAACATAACCTGAAAGAATCTCTTTCTGCAGATAAGCAAGGCTTACGTTATAGATCACTGTATCTATAAACGTAGTGATGATTAATCATCAAAATGAGATAATAAAACAATTCACAAATATACATTACTGAGGAATGCCATAAAAAAAAGTCTCACTAACTAGAACAAAAATTAAGAAATAAAATACTTGCCCACTTATTTCTACTTAAAAAATTTGTATGAAAGTATCAACATGTAATACATGTGATAATGCTTACCGCTCGTCTTAAATGTGAAGAGACTTGCAGATAATGGCCCCCTGCAGAGAACAAAAGATGGTTTTTGCGGTAGTCAGTGAGGAAAATTGAAACAAACTGTCTTCAATTCATTTTTCTTGACTGCTTGCCACCTGAAACCTATGCACATATGCCTAACCAAGCACTTCACGATTAAAGTAACACTTCCCGTCACCAAGTTGCAGTGCTTTCAGTACAAACACATTTTCAAGTGAAATCTATCCAGAGATACTATCTGAGTTAAAGGCTTTCAAACAAACATTTGGCCAGCAAAATGCAAGATTTCATTAAAATGCTTCCCTTTTAAATTAAGCTAATCGTAATTACAAGAATCAATCTCCTTTGATTGCTTTCATTCCTGGGACTTACGAGATAAAATGACAAGTTACACTCTTTTCCCTGCAACTAAAAAGTTGCCATTAAATTATTATTTTTCCACAGACCATTAGGAATTTATGGTCATGCCATGCATTTTGGAAGATAAAACCTCCTTGCAGAATTTGGAAAAGTAATCTTTATGGTCTAGAGGTTAAAAATATCTGGTAAAGCAATCACACCGTAGCAAAAGAGCATTGTGAAAATCTTACAGAAGAGAACCTGTCCATGGAACACGTAGCTCCACTAGCTGAAATTAATGCCGTGATAAGACACTGCCAAGATCTAAGGTGCTAAAGAGAAGGAGAACATAGGAAGTACACTTACACTTTTGAGGTGACATTGTTAGCCAGAGAGCCTTCATAGTATGGAATGCCCTTGCTGATTACAACGTTAATTTGCCCACCCAGCGTATTTGACACAACGCCTGCGTGAACACCAGCCATACAAAGTGATGATGACTTGAAAAGGGGGGGAAAAGAGAAATTTAATACTATATTGTAAATAAATTAAATACGACACCATATACTGTACATGCTACATTGTCCAGTTATAGTCTTTGTTATCATGACATTAAGATACTGTTCTTATTTAACTGTTATCTCTGTTATTTAGAAACCATTCGACTTTGGTTTATTATGGAATTTATAAAAACACAATAAGAAGGTCCTACATTTCACTGCGTCCTCACCCAGATGTATTTGGAATGTAACTCTTGTAATTAACTAAGCTCAAACAAACAGCCAGATGAATCAGTCTGAAAAAGCCAGACAGCAGGACTTTCAGCCTACAATAAATCTATTACGTTAGACAACAGAAGTTGAATACATAAATATACAGAAAACCATTTAATACATTGAAAGTATGTTTATTCATTTTCTCACAATTAAGGAGTGATGCACTGCAGATTTTGTAGCTTTTAGCCAATGGGTTATATTTTTTATTTTAACCATTAAAATTTTATTTTTTAAAAGTTTATTTCATCCAGCACTCTGATCCATGTAAACCCACAGTAATAAGTGAATACAATTCGTTCTAAAGAAGCCGGCTACCTAGGTTGTACAGGTCAATGGAGATCAGTTACACAAAAAGTTTTTGCAGGACATCCTGTTTTTTCCTTCTCTCCCTGACGACTGTTAGCCCGGATCCACTAACAAATGTCACAGTGAGACTTCCATTTCCCTGGCTTGCAGGCTAGCTGTGCCATAGAGAGCAGGACTGACTCACTACACCAAGTCCTTTGGGCACAGCACGGAGTAAGCAGAGCAAGACGCCTCTGTCTTCTGGACCAAAACTAGCCCAGGAGATCTTCTCCAGCTGGGAAGCAAACCCTTCCAGGCCAAAGGGGCTTGACCAAGAAACATCCTAGTGCTCAGGAGTGGAGAGACAGTCCAGTTCTAAAAAAAGCTTAGCAGCAGTGGCTTTGCACCTGTCCACCATGTGCACCAAGGTTCCTGGAGGATTACTGGCTACGCACAGTGCAACAGGCATAGATAGAGCTATTCAAA